TAACCCACTTTTCAATTGAAATTTTATGAATATATATATATACTCACTGTATACTTAAACTAAAGATGTCAAATCATTCGGTTATGGTCTTGGGGCGCGTTTCCTATCGAAAATGTTATTATACTGTGCTCATCTTAGTTCACGGTACTAATGCAGGCGTCACACTGTGCCGAATTTGGCATCATATGGACACACGAATAAGGAAATGTTCAAATTCGGATCTGATCGTAATAACATCGTGCCATTCGTGAGGGCATCTTTTGCCATCGTATGATCCCCGGCTGAATATTACAAGCTCCGGCAGCAACTTCGTGAGCGGTACCAAAATCATTGGCATGCCAAAAAATTGCCCGAAGACATTGCGAAGGTTCATTTTCGTGTTGAATTCGTATGTCAATTTTGCCCTTCGTAAGGCCGTCGTGAAGCCATCTTGTCAAATCGTGTAGTCTTCGTCTTTTCTTCGTGTGATCATCGGTGCAATCTTGCATTTTTAGCCTCAAGAAGTAAACACGAAGATTCCCGATAGTCTTAAAAAGGGAACACGACTACGTGAAGCCCCCGTAATACCGTCGTGTCACCATCGAATTTTGGTACGATGTCATCGAAATGGGACCACGATGAGGCCGAAGAAAGCAATTTTTAGTGGCTCAAGCCTTGCATGTTTATCATGGTGGACATATAAACGGCTAGACCATCTTCCTCATCTGTCACTCTTGCACATCTCTACAGAGACATTAAAAGCTTCCATTATTTGCAATTAATTTACAATTATTTTCAGTTTATTTTCTGCAGAATTACATGCTTTGATGATGAGTCAAAAGAAGGCAGCAGCATTGCTACTTTTAAGACACCTTAGAAAACATAATGAGGCCTACAGGCCCACTTTGGTGGTATGATAAAATTTTATCAAATATGATAAACAAGATCAACAAGGAAAAGCAACTTTCAATGAACGCAACCCCCACACGACCAAGCAACAAGAACCAAGTAACACAAGGGACCCCCCCCCCCCCCAGAAAAACGGACAGGGCGCAAGGTAGAGCACGGATAGGCTTATCACTTAAATGATACATAAGACGAAATAATGGTAAACGACAAGGAAATCAAAGAAAACAAATAAATGATTGATTTATTAAATAATTAAAACTAGGGACAAAAGGGAAAATACTTACCATAGACGAGAAAACAACAAGGGATGCCGACAAAAGTGTAACCAAAACAGTATGAAATAACAAAGACATGCATCTGAGGAACAAAGAGGAGCGCCGCCTTGGACCGGTCAGCAGCATAAGTACTACTGGGGAGTTTAAACCGGTTAATAGTGCACGAAACCTCATTTTTAGCCCACCATGTTCCTATAAACTAGACGGTGTAAATAAAATGAATCCGCGCCAAGTAAATTTATAACAGTTGTTATGGTTTAGTAAAACACCGAGATGATAACGTAGATACATATAAAGGAATACCCATATGACTATAAAGAAAGTACTCAATATTTTAAAGAAAGACAGAGTAACAAAAAATCACCTACAAGGGCCCGACAAAGCAAGGCAAAAGACGAACATTAAGGCAATTCAGTCCCAAAGGGCATTAAGAACTGTCTCACTTGGTCTGTTAAACTGTTAAAGTGTTGAACACTAAGCATGCGGTATATCTAAAAAAAAGTAGAGTCAAAACCTAAAAATAACATCTCCACTAAAATCATTTTTGAATCACTACTGAATTTTGAGATCAAATCAAAGTTACGATTGTTAAATTTTGTAAAATATCTACGTAATTTATAATAGCGGTAGCCCTGTTTGAGTAGCTTGCTAGTAATGAAAATATTTAGCTTGTTAAAATCCTTCACGTTGCTAAAAGCTCTAGCGAATCTAATTTACTGAGATACATATACCCCGTCAGATGTTGCAAGCAGTATTTCTCCATCTAAATGTAGATAGTTTACTATACCATAATCAAAGTCATCACTTTTATCATAGATTTTTGTGTGAATAGAATTGTTTTTGATAGTAATATGAAAAGCCAAAATTAAGTTTAAACGTAGTTTAATTAGCTCCCAATACTATCTGCAACTGAAATTTGCCGCGGTTGGTCGTGAGTTGTATACCACCCGGAGGTGAAGGTCACTTGATGCCTTCGTAACCACGTACGAAGGCATCGTACTCAAAATACGACGTCGGGTACCTATCCTGTGACCTTCGCGTGTCCTGCCGTACAAAATTGCATCTTTGAGGTGACTTCGTGTGTGTATCGGATGCGATCGCGTAACCTTCGGTAGGAATCGTGTGTGACTCGGGTGTGATCGCGTGGCCTTCTGTAGGAATCGTACTTGTTTCGGCTGTTGAGAGACTGTCAACCAATTTCGGGGCACGAAATTAAAAATTTCATATTCGTATGCCCATCTGGTGTCAAGTTCGGGACAGTGTGACGCCTGCATAAACGCTTTGAAACCAGAAAGAAAACAACAAATGAAACTTATGGTACATAAATTGTCATAAGCTATAACATATAGGTTTTTTGCTGTATTGCATAAGGAAACAACAATATATTCAGTCAAAGTCAATTTTAATGGACCAAACGTAGACCATATGTTGGCCATTTTGTTAAATTTCAGTTTTTTCATGTTTCGGTTAAATTTTCTACATGCTATTTTGCTTGGTTTTAAATATCAAAATTATCTTTACTTTGTAACTCAAATTTTTTTTTTCAAGAACTAAGAACATTCAGAAAATGATGATTGTTTCTGACATACACACACATTTAATGGACTAATGTTGGCTTTTGCAGAAATTTGTAAATTAATGTTGTTCTGTTTTACGTAAAAATCTAGAGATTTAAAATATTTTGCACCAACACTTTGATGTATAGGTGTATGAATAAAATATGTCAACTCTGACAAATTTTAACACTGGTCCCATGAAAATATGCCATAACCGTGAAATAAGTGATGACACGGAATTAGTGATGTTGAGTATACTTGCAGAAAGTATACTAGAAGCTAGTTAATGGTGAAACTGATAAAATATGTGCTTCTTTGTAGCGCACTATGTATAATCTTCATGAAAAGGGTATTTTACAATGTCAGTGGATTGAGAAAGTAAAATCTACTTTGAATAATATTGGTTGTTCTGATTTTTGGATAACTCAGAATGTTACAAATTTCAATAATTCTAAATAGGTAATAAAATCACGATCACGTGACCAGTCTTTACAATTATGGAATAGTTATGTTTTCAATTCTGTTAAGTGTTTAAATTATAGAATATATAAAACTCAATTTAAATCTGAACATTATTTACTAAATTTACCAAGAAACTTAGCAATTACTCTTTGTAAAATTAGCTGTCTCAATTCTGATATTCCTTTAGAGAAAGGTCGCTATTTTGGTATTAAAAGAGAAAATAGAACATGCTCACTTTGTAACTAGCAAGAAATAGGTGATGAATTTCACTATATTTTTAAATGATGAAAGACACAAGTATATCAGTAATTACTATTCAAGGTTTCCTAGTATTTTAAATTTTCAGGCTCTAATGTGTAGCGACAACAGAAATACTTTATTTAATCTAGCCATTTTTTATTAAAGCAATAATGCTGAAATTTCACTAAGTCATCTTACTTATTTACTTCTATGCCATGTATGAATTATTATTTTTGTATTGTTTGATTGTTCAGTCTTATGCCCTTAAGGGCAATGAGTTTTTGTTTTATAAATAAATCAAAATCAAAATATTAAGTAATTTCCTGTAGGAAATACAAATGTAAGAAATGAATTACCGAATTTAAGTTTATTTTTTTGTTTTGTCTTTTATATTCCCAGCTGCTGAATTCCGTTCTCATTCATAAATATGACATGCTGCGAATCACCGAACCAATATATGACTTTACATTATAGCAATCGAAAGGAATTCTTGAATTTTATCTGTAACACCGTGTATATCCAGTAACGCCGGAATGTGAAAATAACGCACGGAAAATGTGATTTTGTATATATAGTACAGAATTATTACATAGGTTTAACGCCTTTTATCGGCGACTTTAATCAAATTATTTGCGACCTAGTCAATGTATTTTCATGTAACTTATTAAGAAATATATGATAATTTGATCTTGACAAACTTTCAATATTTTGATTTGATATTGAAACTAAATACAATTTGACAATTATTTCCTGAAATAAATTATTATTTGCAAACATGTTGCCCACGTCTGATTTTGTTAGAAAATAAGAATGATGAACTTCCTTTGCAAATAAATTGAATATAAAAATATTCATATCATAGCATATTGTAACTAAATACAATTTTATCTATCCACGCCATGAAGGTCTAAAAGTGGACTTCTTCGTGTTTACTATATATGTCAAATGATTAATAAAGAGTAATATTACGAAGCTTATAGTGTTATGGTTTCAGGGACGGATTCGAGACTGTGTCTGTATTTTCTACGCAATCAAACTAAAATATATTCTGTATAAAATTAATTTTTTCAACAAAAAAGTGCTGATACTCGCCGATTGATGGCGTTAAACCTGTGTAACAGTTCAGTACCATTATATGAAAAGATCTTGAAAAGTAAACAATTTCGTGGAAAATAATCTTGATGAGGGATAAAGAGTAATGTCTTCGTAGCCGTATGCGGCTATTCCTTTTTTTTCAGTTCGGTAAAATAAAAAAATATATTGGCCAGTTTACTTACCGCGTTGGAAATCCTGTCAGGTATCCGACATTTATTGCACAATTCTGCGTTGCTTATTGCATGAATCGTGCGTTATTTTCACATTCCGGCGTTACTGGATAGACACGGTGTGTAAATCGAAGGGATTAATTGATAAAAATCGGGTCCATGGACAAAAAAAGTAAACACAAATAGCTCCGCGCCTGTAGACAGCCGGTTACAGCCTATGTAACTGCGATTGACACGCTGCTGCGTATTCATATCATCATTATGACTCAGCATAACGTGTGATAAAATGATTCAGCATCAGCACAGGTTTATATTTGTATATATCGGAAAAAGAAATGGGGTTTTCCATGCTGGTGTTCTGAAAATTCACTGGTCTGGTTTTAATAGGGTTTTCCCGTCAACCATATATTGAGATACATAATATTATAGCGTCGAAAAATGAAAGATTTACAATATCAGAATGGGTGCTTCAGACAGGTACATATATCTCTTATTATCAAAAGACATTTTGTTATCAAAATATATGGAGGTGCGTTAATAGATTACAAAGAAGTAAGTTATATGTTATCATATTATAATTTAAAGTAAAACAAATCATTTATACAATATGATAATGCATAAATTTTATATATTTTCTACAATTTGAGATACATTGTACTGCGTTTGTTCAATCATAAAAACGTTTTGAAAACTTTTTTCCAGCTCTTTTCGTGACATCGAAAATGAGTCGATGCTTATCAACGATCTAGTTCTCTCGGCAAAAGAAGGAAACTTCCAAAAAGTCTGGGATATTATCGGCGAACCGGACAGCCCAAAGAAAGCTTATTTGTTGAATTGTATTCCCGATAATCGTCGATGGGGAGTATTACATCAAGCAGTGTTTTGGAATGATGTTAATATTTTGAAGAAAATACTTAAATATGAAGCTTGTGATGCCGATATGCGCGCAAAGAGATGTACATCAGAATGCGGTGACACGAGTGGAATGTGTGCTCTAGAAATTGCAAGAGCATACAAATACCCGGACATGGACAGAATACTATCGGCACACAGAAATAACATACTTGGACAAAAATTGCCAACATTTCAAACCGAGCCACATTTAGGACTTCTTAGTTGCACAATCGCTGCGTATAAATCTACATTTCATCCGGGATATATCAGCCCATACAAATCAAACATTGAAATTTTGAATGATATCTGGAAGGACATAGAGAGCAATACTGCAAGATTTGAAGCTGTCAAGAAACAAGTTTGTGATGCTATGCACATCGTGTCAACCACAAATGCTGAAATGATAAAGGGTACTACGACCAAGGAGAATTTCTACAAGATGATAGTAAAGGCATACACGATCGAGACGAACTATCTTTACAATTACATCAGTATGGCTATGCGAAGACAGACAAGTACCAATTACAAGCCAACAGGAGATGACCTGGCCCTTGGACCATATGCTGTCATGTACCAAATGCTGTTGCTCTTTTGGGACAAAATAACGCCTGAAAGCGGAACAACGTACCGCCAGATGAAAATGATAAAGGAGGATGTAGAAATGTATACTGAAGGTACGGTTTTCTATTGGCAATCTGTCGTTTCATCAACAAAAGATGAGGTTAATGCCCAAAGTTTTCCTACAGTTGAAAATGTTGCAGGTGATAATATTGTTTTGTTTATAATTGACAACAGTGTAAAATGTGTATGGCAACCAAAAAATATAGAAAAATATGCCTCGCATAACGAGAATGAAAGAACATATCCAGCAGGCGCCAAATTTAAGGTCGTGAAAGCAGGCAACTTTTGTGAAGAGAACTATCAAATAAAGCTAAAGCTGCTGCCACAATAGACTAGGTTAACTTTCTCCGTCAATCATATTATTCTAACTAATTATTGACTGACCAATCCAAAATGCAAAAAAAGGAATGTTCATCATGTATGCATATTAATGTATGTATCATAATCTCATGTGAATATATCTTCATCAGATAAAATAAAGCATTTACAGAATCAATGTACAAACAGAAAATGGACATGCTTAAGTTCGTCTTCAACTGTCTTAAATACTTTTATAATTTAAACGGCATTGCTATAGCAAATAACTTTTAATTTGTTTTAATGTAAAATGCTTGTAACATAGTCTTCCATTATTCGATTCAAATTTTGACGTAAATTACATGTCTATATATGTCTTTATGAACTGTCCAATATTTATTTCTCTCATTTCGTTTAAGTTTAAAACTGTAAATAAATGATTGGTGTTGTAAATTTGAGGCATTTGAGAACCAGTCGTACATGCACCTTTTCTTATTTCCTTGTTTGGTTATTTCTTATTCCCATGTTTGATTACTTCTAATTCCCTTGTTTGGTTACTTAAGTCATATTGACTCTGTAAGGGGTTTTTTGGTGACACGAAAGCTTTATATACATCCACTTAGCTAATTATGGAGATTATCGGATTTTTAATCCAAGGGTCACTGATTCGATTATCGGACAACCCGAAATTTCTTCGCGACGAAAATTCTCGGGGCACCAGGTGTGAGGTCATTTGTCTCTCATCCTTTTAAACCTTG